TGCATATGTTTTTACTTCTTCGTTCCATAGGAACTCATAAAGAACAAAAACACATCTTGGACAGTATTTTCATCACCATCTCAACCAACGTCCATCACTAAACAAATCCAAAAATATCAAATCTGACAGCTAATTCGATTGCTATGTCCGTAACCTCAATTTAATTATACACCTCTATTACATACGTCAATCCACCATAACCCATTCCTCTCACCATTTTTCATTAGACCAAACACCAATCACTCACAGAACACATACCAATGATCAGTGATGTCTTTCGTGTCATCTCCAGCATATGACCTTTGATGTCTTCCTTTATCTCCCTTTACCCCACCTTCCAATTTCACCACAACTGAATTTGGCAATTGGTTCTAGTCTGGTGAAAATCTTCCATTAAGTGGGTTAGGATGATTTTTGATTTAGTTTTGAGAAAGAAAAAAAAGAAACAAAGTTGGAAGGGTTTTGGTGGGCTACAGTGACAAAAATAATTGGGGGGGCAGATGTTCTTTTGGGTAGGGAAAGTTAATATATAATACATTTTTAAGCAAATACACGAGTCGGTTAATGATTTGTCCGTTTGACACATTATCCCCAATTTTAACACACGCATGAGGTTTGTTGGTCTCCGGTGCTTAGTTGACCTACTTTATTAAAGGCTTGAAATATCTGACTGAAAATAAACTTAATTGAAGTGTTCACCCGGACGTTGAGGACAACTTAAAAGTGACTGTTTATATATTTCGTCCAATATTAAACATTGACTTTCATACTGATAATTTTTTATCCAATAATTTATTTGAATTGATAGATAGGTTTGAAACCAACAAGCATTGTTGCTTTCAATGCTAAAATTGATGTTTTATTTTAATTAACCAACATTATTGAAACCACATTATGTCATTTGATTTCGATATATGATGAGTTGGTGGGGCGTCAATATATATTGTCACTGTTACTCAAATAAGGATGATAGATGATTGTTTATGAAATATTTTCTTGAGGCTCCTCCAAACATTATGAGCATTAGATGCTTTGTTACAAGTACACCCATACTATACATTTTAATTTCAATAGTAATAAGTCACTTTCTTTTTTTTTGCCTACGCTGCTCTTTGAACTGTTGTCTCTCAATAATATCCTCAGTTATTGATTATCAGGCCTCACCCTGTTAGTCATATTTATATTACTAATATATGCTAAGTTGTTGCTGAGCAAGAATGCTGCGTTGTGATCATTAACAAACGATGGCTACAACTGGGAAGGTCATATTAGCCTAGAATATCATGTATATAATACTAATATACAACAAATGGACAACATATTTTTAAAAAAATAAGTGAGTTAACGCTTACATAAAGAAAAAGAAGTGCCAATTAAGCATAATAATTAGCACATCTATCGCTAACAAGGTAGCTTGATGATGAGGTATCATTCCACCGACAATTTTCCACTTATCTTCTTCTCATTCAGCAAAAGAGTGGCATCATTAAATTACAGGGGAAGAAGTAAACTCTTCAATATTCGACTGTATATTATATGTTTCAAAATCTGACTATGGAAATCTGGCACTAAGGTTAGATAACCAAAAGGCAATTAGGCTGAGGTCTTGCACAAGATTAAAGAAATCAACGGGCGAGCTGATTAATTGGTGCCGAGGTCAAGGACTCTGGCCGACCATAACGGTTAGTTTTGTAATAAAATATTTTAGGGAAATATTCCACCGAATATTCTCTGTACTTGTACTTTAAGTTAGGTAGGGGATATGTCTCGTATAAGGGGAAAGGGAGAGAGAAGAAAGTGGCATGTAATATTTTGTATGATAAGTTCTCTCATGAAAAGTTGACTCTCAAGCATATTACAAACATTATCTTTACATAAAGATTCGATTGGTTCTTCATCCCACTTTCTCGCATCAGATCTGAGAAAACTCCCCATATTCCCACGCTTGTTTGCCTTACATCATTGTCAGAGGAAGAATCATCCACCGCATTCAATATTTGGGTTAATCATTCTCTCTATTTACATTTATTGTCATTTAATATATTTATTGCTTATCATTATTCTCCCACACACTCATGACAGTACCATTAAATACCCCTTTGCACTAAATTTGTTTAAATGCAATTATACGTTGTTTATATCATCCGATTTCAGATCTAGGTTATATTATGTTTAACTAGGATTTACCCACTATCTTCTTATTTAATTAGTTTAATAAAAAGGCTTAACACTTTTTGGTCAAACGATTTGGCGTCGTCTGTAGGGATTTTCTAGTTAAAATTTTAGTTTCTTCTAGATCTAAAAAAAACATTGCAAAAATCCTGTACTTCCTTATTTGCACAAATCTAACATGGCAGGCAACAGAGAGGAAAAGAGAAAGGTGATAGTCGACCTCACCACCAACCTCCTCCACACCACTAATGAAGTGGATGAAACGGAGGGCGAAGATATAACACCAAACACCTCTCCCAAGTGAAACAGCTCTCCTCCACCTCTCGATAGCATCACGACCTCGCACAGTAAGGGGGACTCTACATCCACAACAGAAGAGGAACCACCAGCAATGAAAAAGATACTAGAGGCATGGTTGACAAATACGCTAACCGGCTTCCTCGACAAGGGAGGTCGAGTAGCGAAGAGGCAAGTGTCGGTGTTGCATAGGTAGCCGACGAGCAGCACCCCCTTCGCAATAGGTATTACTCACAATGCTAATGATGCAGGTAATGACACCTTCACAGCCATTTTGAGGAAAATGGAGGAGATGGAGAACGAGAACAAAATGCTCCGCAGCCAAATAAAAGAGCACCAAGAGAGGGTAGACAAAATACAGGATTCCCCAAAATATCTACCAAAAAGGGACGTTGATCGGTTTGTTGAGCATCCATACAGCGACGAGGTTGCACCGCACGCTATACCAAAGACCTTCAAAATGTCGTCATACTTAAAAGTATACGACGGCAAGACGAACCCGGAGGATCATGTGACCCACTATGTCACTATAGTAAAAGGCAACGACCTCGCCAAAGAATAAGTACCATCCATATTGCTGAAGAAGTTTGGAGAACCCTAACTGGATGAGCACTGACTTAGTACTCACAGTTACCTGTGCGTTCCATAGAAACATTTGAGAAAATGGCAGACAAGTTCGTCACCGCCCATGTCGGGGCTAAGAAAGCAGAGGCGAAGATGAACGACATATTCACCATTAAGCAATCACCTGGTGAAGGACTCAGGGACTTCCTTGCCCGGTTCAACCGTGTAAGAATGACCCTTCCAAATATGTCTGAGGGGATGGCAGTAGCCGCTTACCAAAATGGGCTAAGCAGAAGTGGGTCGAGGGCGACCAAAAAGTTGCTAACCCGACTCATGAAATACCCTCCAACCACTTGGGATGAAATACACAACGCCTATTATGCCGAGGTAAGAGACAACGAGGACGATCTCAACGGACCTACCCAACGTTTGACCTCAGTTCAAATGGAGTCCAGGAAGAACCGAAGAAACGACAACATGAGAGATCTAGTTGGATCCCGACCTAATCAGGAGAGATATCGGCCTTACATCAAAGGCCCCCTCATGCCACTTCCACGCCACGATGAAGGTCCATCTAGGCCGTGAACAGGAATCCACCGATATGAGAAAGGTATGCCCCCTTATTATCTGCCCACAATTTTTGGGTTTCCCCCTTAGAAATAGTCTACGCGCTAGAGAAAGTCGGCCCAAAATTGATGTGGCCACAGAAGATGAGATCCGACCTGAACACCAGAAATTCAAATGCACTTTGCGAATTCTACCAGGAGCGGGGTAATAAAATCGAGGACTGTGTCGCCCTATGACAAAAGGTCATGAACATGCTTTACCAAGGGCACTTGAAAGAACTGATGAGCGATCGATGGAGAGCCAACTTCGCCCGTGGGCATGAAAAACACCAGGGACTGCCCAAACCACCTTCCCCAGCTCAAACCATTCAAATGATCATCGGAGGAGGTAACGATGCATCAATCAACATGATGAAGTTTACCACCACCCACAAACTCAAACGGTCCATCATTCGCGAATGGTATGATGAACTCAAAGAAAGTATCATCTTCGATAAGTCATATACTCATAGTTTGGTTCTTCCTCACTATGACACTTTTGACATTACTTTACGGTTTTTTTATACTGATGTAAAATGTATTATGGTAGATGATGGGAGCGGCGCATTCATCATCCACCCTCGAGTTCTCACCCAAATAAAGCTCAAGGAAAAGATAGTGTCACGTTGCATCATACTAATAGGTTTTAACAATGCAGTTGAGTGGACATATGGAGAAATCACGCTACTCGTCTTGGCCGGTGGCATCACTTTGGAGACCACGTTCCATATCATGAACCAGGATACGACGTACAATGCCGTCATAGGTCGACCTTGGATATACGCCATGAAAGCCGTCCCATCCAGCTTATATCAAGTCATTAAATTTCACACCCCCTGGGGAATATATAACATCCAAGGAGAGAAATGCACTGCCCGAGAATGCTACCGCATCACTCAAGACTGCACATACACCCAACAACTAAAAGGCAAGGCCGAGGAGGCATAACAATTAACGAAGTCGGGGTCGGAAGGCGGTGAGGGAAAAAACGTCATTAGAGACCCCGAAATCGTAGAATCCACAAGATCGATAGTAGAGGACCTCGACCCCATCCAACTAAACGATAACGATCACAACAAAAAAGCTTCCATCGGCCATAAGCTCTAAGAATTAGGTAAATTTCGCCAATTCTTAAAAAGTAATGTTGACATGTTTTCTTTTTCCCATGTAGATATGCCAGGTATCTCGAAGGAGATAGCAACTCATAAGTTGAACGTCGACCCGTTTTACTCCCCAGTAAGGCAAATTAGATGAAAGTTCAACTCAGTAATAAATAACGCGATCCGCAAAGAGGTTGAAAAATTGTTAGGAAATGGTTCCATTAGAGAATTGAAGTACCTTCAGTGGGTCGCCAATGTGGTCATGGTGAAAAAGAACAACGGGAAGTGGCAGATGTGCGTAGACTTCATAGATCTGAACAAAGCCTGCCCAAAAGACTCACTCCCACTGTCCCATATTGACCAACTCATTGACGTAACTGCTGGGAACGAGCTGCTAAGATTCTTGGACGCCTACTCGGGCTACAACCAGATCCTCATGAAGGAGGAGGACCAGGAAAAAATCACTTTCATCACCCACCAGGGGACATACTGCTACATGGTTATGTCGTTCAGGTTGAAAAATGCAGGGGCAACATAGTAGAGGCTAGTGACCAATACGTTCAAAGATCAACTCGGCATGACCATGAAAGTATATATAGACGACATGTTGGTCAAGTCGAAAAGGAAGGAAGACCACATTGACCACTTGAGGGAAGCCTTCGACATACTCGGAAGGTACATCATGAAATTGAACCCCGAAAAATACGCCTTCGGCGTAACCTCGGGAAAGTTCCTCGGCTCCTTGGTATAGCAACGAGGCATCGAGGTCAACCTCGACCAAATCAAGGCCATAGAAGAAATCCCAAAAAACTTAACCAGCAAGAAACATGGGCAGCAGTTGACCGACCATATAGCTGCCATGTCAAGATTCATCTCACGGTCCTCCGATAGGTTCCACAAATTTTTTGGCGTACTAAAAAAAGATAACGGACTCCAATGGAATTTTGAGTGCGTCGACGCCTTAAAAGAACTAAAGGCCTACCTGTCTTCGCCCCCGTTGCTCGCTAAAGAAGAACTCAGAGAGCATCTTCTTGTCTATCGAGCCATGTCCGATGTCGCAGTAAGTGCAGTCTTGGTACGAGAAAATAAAGGTACACAGTCTCCAATCTACTATATTAGCAAAACTTTGGTCGACGCTGAAATAAGGTACCTCCATCTCGAGAAGCTAGCCGTAGCCTTGGTCGTAGCTTCACGAAAGCTTAGACCGTATTTCCAATACTACCCCACCTCGGTGCTCACGACTTTTCCTCTAAGGATTATTTTGCACAAAACCGAACTGTTGGGCAGATTGGCCAAGTGGGCCATAGAGCTGAGCGAGCATGATATAACCTATCAGCCGCGAATGATGATAAAGTCGCAAGCACTTGCCGACTTCATCGCCGACTTTCGTGCAATGACAATGCCCGAAGTCGAAATGGAAAACGGCAGCACTTCCACCAAAATGCATGACCAATGGGTTCTGTACACCGATGGCGCTTCAACGCGTCATGATCTAGACTAGGACTCGTGCTCGAGGTCCCAACATGCGAAATAGTTTTCCAGTCCATACGGTGCCCTGATATGACTAACAATGAGGCCGAGTTTGAGGCTGTGATTTCAGGGTTAAAACTGGAACTCAAGTACAGAGCACGACGAGTAGTCCTACGATGCGACTCGCAACTCGTCGTCAACCAAGTCACAGGGACTTTCCAAATCAAGGAACAATGACTACAGAAATATCATGCCGAAATTTACAAACTGCTACCTGAGTTCGACGAATGCCATCTCGATCAAATACCTCAAGCGCAGAGTATCAAAGCGAACGGCCTCGCCAAACTAGCAACAGCCACCAAAAGCATAACCGGAGAGGGGAACATGGTCACTCTTCTCCATTCATCGATCGATCAAATCGAGGTACGAACTATAAACTTGACTTGGGACTGGCATAATTGTATTGTCATATTTGCAAGACGGGGCACTCCCACCCGATAACAAAAAAGCTAGTAAGCTTCGAACGCAAGCGGCCATGTACAACATCATCAACAATGACATGTACAAAAGAACGTATGGCGGCCCACTATCAAAATGCTTAGGACTAAATCAAACGCGGCGCATCCTCGAAGAAGTACACGAAGGTCTCTGCGGATCTCATACCAGCAATCGATCTCTCGCCAGATGCCTCATACGAGCGAGCTACTACTGGCCCACGATGAAAAAAGAGGCCACCGACTTCGTAAAAAAATGTGAGCAATGCCAAAAGTATGCCCCATGATTCACCAAGCGGGTGAGCACCTTCACTAAGTCACAATGCCCTAACCCTTCATCAAATAGGGAATGGACATCGTCAGACCTCTTCCAGCGGGACGAGGTAATGTACGATTTGTTTTAGTTTTAACTGACTATTTTTCAAAGTGGGTAGAAGTAGGTGTATTCACGCAAATATGTGAGCAAGAAGTGATCACATTCATATGGAGGAACATCATATGCCGCTTCGGCATCCCAAAAGAAATCAGTTGTGACAATGGACCCCAGTTCACTGGGAAAAAGATCGTCGAGTTCTTTGAAAAATGGCACATCAAAAGAATGCTCCCCATGCCATATCACCCCGTGGCGACGTTCAGGCGGAGTCCTCCAACAAATCAATATTGAAAATCATGAAAAAGAAGCTAGAGAATGCCAAGGGACTGTGGCCGAAATTGCTGCCAGAAGTGCTATGGGCATACCGCACAACGCCGAAAACAAGCACAAGAAACACCATATTTGCTAGTCTATGGACTGATGCAGTAATACCGGTCGAGGTCGGAGAACCAAGCCTGAGATATTCATACGAGAGTGGACCTATTAATGATGAAAGCAAGAGGCAAGACCTCGACGAGGTCGAAGAGAAAAGAGATATGGCTTACATAAGGATGGTTGCTTAAAAACAACAAGCAAAGCGATATTACAACAAAAAAGCCAAGGTCAGACCACTCAAAGTAGGGGACTATGTACTCAAAGCCAAAAACACAGGCAAGCAAGGACCCACGAGAACAAAAACTAGGGACTAATTGGGAAGACCCATATAAGATTGCGGTAGCAACAAGCAAAGGGTCACGATACCTATAGTACTTCGAAACCATTTTGTGGAAAACAATCTTCCGCTTCCCCTCTCAGCGGGCGCTCTTGATCTCCAAAATGAGAATAATAAAAAAAGGAAAAGAAAAGAGAAAGGAAGAGCCGAAAAGAGTTAGTAAAGACGAAAAGGGAAGAAGGGAACAAAGTGAAAATCGGCATCCTTAAGCGCTTGTAAAGTCATGTTCTCGGCAGCAGAGAAAAGAGGGACTAAAGAAGGGACCATGTTCCCCGTGTTAGCCAACAAGTCGCAGTCCAAAGGGATGACAATCGAACGAGAAGATCCATCTATTCTCACCTCAACCCGGGTAAACCCTTCGTCGAATATCCTCTCTTCCTCGGGGTCGATGTAGGATCTGGATTCGTTATCATCTACGATCACTCCTTCTTCCCTCTCCTCGGCTAAGGAGGGAACGTCAGCCCGCTCTGACATTGACGAATCACTCCTCAGAATGCCCATAGTTGCCTTTGATCTCTCCCTTCCTTCCACAGAAACAATCTCCACATTTGACGGGGGCACAATATCTACATCTAAAGCCATATCGCCTCTCGGCTTGGCCGTGGTCAACTCGGGATCACCCCCATAGGCCCTCATTCTCGATCGCTTCGCCATCAACCTCTATTCTCCGTCTTTTTAGCAGAGTCTCTTCCTTTTTGCCCTACAATGACTCGTCCACCAAATGAAACACTGAAGAATACGGAATCTCCGCTAGTGGTACAGCAGTCTGACGGCTAGGTCTAGGTGAGGTCGGGGTCCGAGAAGGAACAACAGTCTGAACAGACTTGCTTGCAGCCGCAGCAAGTAGAGGCCCAGTCGAACCACCTGATTGTCTAAAAGCGAGAGTAGTAGCCCTCACCCTTATCGGGGCTCTCCGACCTACCAACAAAGAAAGACAAGTAAAAAAATGAGAGAGAAAAGATGACATGAAGGTCAAAACGACTAAGATCAAAATAACTCACCAGTCGAAGGTTTGCGCCCAAACCTCTCATTGAACTACAACCACTCACAGATCCCCATCGTGTGAGGTAGAATTTGGGTCACCCAATTGCGAATATCGGTGACTAGCAAAAGAGGATCCTTCTCGGATACATGAAAAAGAAAAAGGGAAAACGGATTAGGTCACCAACGAGAAACAACAAACAGCTAGTTGGGAGAAACACTTACGAGCAAAGTTCCACGCCTCAGTAAACCCATTAGGGTTCAACACCACGTGCTCCATCTTCACATAGAAGAAATTAACCCAAAAATGATGATTTGTCTTATTGTCCATCTTCACCACTAATCCCATGGTCCCACGATGGCGGAGGTGTATCATCGTACCCCTGTGAAAGCTTGGGGCAAAGAGGTGAAGCAGATGACAGAGAGAAATTCCATGGTTGGCTAGCTCCGCATACTAGATAAGCATAAGAAAACGCTTATAGATATACGAGGAGAGTTGAGTCGGGAAAATGCCGTAGTAGCGGTAGAAGTCCTCCGCCAAAGAAAGAAGAGGAAGCGTATAGCCGACGATGAACGAATATGCATAAAATGCGCAATATCCTGGGCGATGTATTTGCACCATATCGTTACCAGCCGGGATAAGGTCGACATGGCCTGGAATTTGCCATTTATCCCTACATTCAACAAGTGCCGCTGCATCCATCTTAGAAACGACAGGCTCGGGATCTTCTTCAGGCCGCTTCGAGAAGTTTGACCTGGTCCTCCCCGAACGAGGAACTATCTCATCCAAAGTGGGAAAACTCTCGTCTTCTACAACAATGGCCACTACTTCTTCATGAGAAGGCATGCCCACAGTCAATGGGAAATGATCAGAAACTCCCTTAGGGTTAGAAGATGCACTAGCTATTTTCTATCACGTATTTGGGAAGAAATTACAAGAATGGAAGGGGTAATAATATCAGGAAACGCTAGAGAAGGTAAAAACAAGGATGCAAGCATTCTGGGAAGAAGAGAAATCTTGAAGAATCAAATGCTTAAAAATGCAGCAGGTCAAATGGGGAAAACCCATCCCTATTTATAAGAATATTGACACCCCAATCGAGAAGGTCAAGTGCTGCCACATTGATTTCTAAACGGAAAGGGCATGGGAACGATGTAATGTATCGGGAACATGCGCCATATATGACGCTTGATGAAATAATGTCATTATAAATTGACGTAACGGTCACATGTGGCTCTCAAAGTGCCACATCATCACCTCGCCCTAAGAACTTTGTATGCTCGACCTACGCGCCCAGATTTCTCAAGTTGTAACTAGTGAAGTCCGCCCATCGATCATGTCTAAAAACAACCTCGACAGGCGGAGAAACTAACTGTATGGGTCAAAATATGACTAAGAAAATCTGGCACGAGGTTAGATTTCCAAAAGACGATTAGGCCGTGGTCTTGCACAAGATTAAAGAAACCAACGAGCGAGTTGATTAATTGGTGCCGAGGTCAGGGACTCTGGTCAGCCATAACGACTAGTTTTGTAGTAAAATATTTTAGGGGAATATTCTCTGAACTTATGCTTTAAGTTAGGTAGGGAATATGTCTCATATAAAGGGAAAGGGAGAGAGAAGAAATGGGTATGTAATATTCTGTATGATAAGTTCTCTCATGAAAAGTTGACTCTCAAGTAAATTACAAACATTATATTTACATAAAGATTCGATTGGTTGTTCATCCCACTTTCTCGCATCAGATTCGAGAAAGCTCCTTATATTTCCATGTTTGTTTGTCTTACATCATTGTCAGAGGGAGAATCATCCATCTCACTCAATATTTGGATGAATCATTCTTTCTATTTACATTTATTGTCATTCAATATATTTATTGCTTATCATTTATATCATCCTGTTTCAAATTTATGATTTATTATGTTTAATTAGAATTTATCCACTCTCTTCTTATTTAATTAGTTTAACAAAAATGCTTAATACTTTTTGGTCAAACAGATATATGTTGGACTTGTCCCGGATAAACAAAGGAGTTAAACAACTTAGGGTCGATTTTATGGATTCTTCTATTCATATGGTTGCATTCAAATTTTCTAATTAATTAATCGGGTAAAAAATATATTAATCAATCAGGTCGCTAAATAAGAATATTCAATACTTTTTGAACATATCTTCCGCGTAAGAACCAGATAAGGATGTGAACCACACGCCACCAAGGATCATCACAACATTAAAAAATGTGTGTCTTGACGAGGAACATGTCCATATATTTTTATGTTCAATTGATCAATAGGTGTGAAACCAACAAGTAGTGTTGCTCTCAATGCCAAAGTTGATGTTATATTTTAATTAACCTACAATATTGTAAAGCATATTATGCCATTTGATATCGTTATCTGATGAGTCAGTGGGTGTCTTTGTCCCAATTACAATATCACTGATCAATAAGGATGGTTGAGGACTTAATTAATG